ATTGTAAGCTAGCCCAACCCAAATCCAGATTGTTGACTTTTCATAATAATTGGACTTCAACTTGACACGTGACATTTTCTCATTGATTTATTTTTAGATGTAAACACAAAGTGTTTTAACTTCTAAATATATATATATATATATAGGAAGTGGCAGTGATATAGCTTCATCCCTTTCGCATATTAAGGAAATAGTTTTGTTTAGTGCATTCATGCCATTCTAAAATTGTTAACGTTGTTTTACCATTTTTTTGTTTTTTAGAATGCTAATGTTTCAAAAAAAGCTTCCCTTAATCAGTAGAGGTGAGTGTTGGGTTTGGGTAAGTACTTTACTTAAATTGTAAAAAAATTGGGTAAATAATGGGTATAAAAATAGTATATCCATAAGTATCAAGTTAAATAACAAATATAAAGGTTCAAAATTGTTTACCTAATCTATTTAAATGTTTTATTTAACTGATATGTTACTTGCACTTGTATAATTGAAATTTTATATACACTTATTATATTTAATATCTATATAATAACAATAATTTTTTTTAAAAATAATAGAATACAAAAATAAAAATATAAGAAATCACACACAACTTATAAATAACAAACCTTAAACCAAACACATATTACACACACAGCCAGCAACTTTTTTCCTTCCATGCACTTTTTGATAACAATGTGTATTTATAACTTCAATTTTTGATTCTCTTTAGTTTTCTTTTTTACTTTTCTAATGGTGATTTTCAAGCCATAGTTTTTGTTTATTATATAGATATTTTTTAACTTCAAACTTCAAATATAACATTATAAGAATCATAAGTTAAAAGTATAGACACTATTATATTAAAATAGATACAATACCATCAATTACTATTCTTTTTTAACAAACCAAAACAGAAAACAGAGGATTAAGGAGATTATGAGTTTAAAAACCTTGACATCTTTTTTGAATGACTTTTATTTAGTTATTTAATTGATTTTCATTCTTTATTTTTTGGTACATATTTTTTTGTTTTTTATTGTTAATTATTTAATTGATTTAATTTTTTAATAGTACATAGATTTGAATTCTTGATATGAAAGTAAATTTAAACTCTCTATTGTTATTTTAGGTTATATTTAAAGTTAGATTGTAATAAATAATATTTTATTAAATTTTAATTTAGAAAAAAAATTAAGTAAAATATCATTTAATAAGAATAGGTTAAATACCCTTTTTGGTTCCTCTACTATAGCAAAAAGCCCTTTTTTAGTCCCTATACTGAAAAAATCCCTTTTTTAGTCCTTACTGTTTGAAATCCGGCCCCTTTTTAGTCCCTCCGTTAAATTTTTGCCTATGTGGCAGGTTAACTAACAGAATCATTTGAATATTTTTCATACAAATAATATTATAAATGAGGTGGAAATTATGTGGATGCCACCTGTACAAATTAAAAATTTTACTTTTTAATTCATCAATTAAATGAATTTAAATATGATTAATTTTAATTTTTTAATCGTTTTTGTCTTCTTCTTTGTTAACATTGATAAATTTCTAGGCCTGAAGCACTGTGGGAAGAGTTGCAGATTACGCTGACCTTCTTTCTCCTCATGCTTGGCATCATACTCATCCTCACCAGCTGCTAAGCTCTTGCAGGTTGGTGAACCTAGTTTGGGTTCTTCATGGAACACTTTTGTTGGGTTCAACCCAGTTGATGGGTTAGTGGAACCCTGATCTGGATTTCGCGATGCTTGGTGTTTTTGGGTTCCGCGAAGAACCCAGTTGCTGGGTTCGCGAAATCCACATCTGGGTTTCGCAAGGAACCCAGTTTTTGGGTTCCTTGCTTGCTGGGTTCAAGGAACATTGTTGGGTTCGCAGAACCCGGTTTTTGGGTTCCTTGCTTGCTGGGTTCAAGGAACCCAGTTTCTGCTACATTGAGGCATTGAATCACTTTTTTCATTTGCTAATTGGATTTGATTTGTAGACTGATTTTCCTCACTAGAGGAGTTTTAAGCCATCTTATTTTTGTGATTTTTGTTCAATTTTATTAAGAATGTGACTCGATCTTGTGTGTGATTATTGGTAATTCTACTGCATTATTGGTCTATCTCATTTGTAAAACAATTTTGATGAGACATCGAGAAATTTGAGGATAATTTTCTCATTTTTTTGGGTTTTGCAAGCAACCCAGAAAATTAGGTTCGAGGAACCCAGCAAGAGGGTTTTGCAAGCAACCTAGAAACTGGGTTCGTGGAACCCAGCAAGGGGATTCTATGAGTAACCTAGGATGATGAAGAGGATGACGAGCAGGATGCTGATGACATGATGATGCCGAGGATGAGGATGAGGACTAAGATAAGGATAAGGAGAAAGAAGAAGATGAAGAAATTAAAATTAAAATTAATCCTATTTAAATTCATTTAATTCATGAATTAAAATGTAAAATTTTTAATTGAGGAGTGCTAGGGGCACTCGCCTCCTACACTTTCCGGCCAACACTTTCATTTTTACTGGGCCATGTTATTTTGGTTTGGAAGAGGTTGAATTACAAAGCCGGAAACAAGCTTACGTGGCTCAATAATTTCCACGTCATTCTGGTTTGTACAGGTGGCATCCACATAATTTCCACCTCATTTATAATATTATTTGTATAAAAAATAATCAAATGATTCCGTTAGTTAACCTGCCACATCAGCAAAAATTTAACGGAGGGACTAAAAAGGGGTCGGATTTCAAACAGTAAGGACTAAAAAAGAGATTTTTTCGGTATAGGGACTAAAAAGGGACTTTTTGCTATAGTAGAGGGACCAAAAAGGGTATTTAACCAATAAGAATATAAGTATACACTTGTAAGTCTTTTGGTACTTGTTGGGTTAAGTATCAAGTATAGGTTTTTAAGTATTTGACTAAGTAATAAATCTAAAAAATTATATCCAAAAATTTTTAATCAAA